TTTCCAGACCAGAGTCTGCAAGTGCTAATCGGAATGTTATTAACTCCGTCTGTCTGCCTGTCTGTCTGTCTAGGTGACAGCAATAAATTAAATAACAACGATAAAAAAATAAATCTCAATCTATTAAACACCTGCACAAAATGGTAATCTTACGGATTCATGTTACTTGGGCAAAACATGCTTCGTCATAATAGAGTGGAGCAGTCCTAAAACTGGGAAACGAGAGAGTGTTTTACCATCCAGTTAACTCGCCTCGAAGCTAACGTTTTTCACCATCCACTATTTGTTAAACTGAGCGACCTACTCTGGGAGAGTGTTTGGTGATGGCGGCGGGCATCGGGTCTAATTAAAGAACGACGAGTTGTGTATGGCAGTCAAACCTAGTTTTAAATCTGTAATGCATCCAGGATTTGATTTGCTCTGCGTTGCTGCTGTCGCATCACAAAACTGGGGTTGATAGCTTTCAAATGTCAGTCTGAGAGTGTGAAAGAAAAAGAGAGATAGAGAGTGACGTTTATTTCAAATGTGTGAAATGTCAAACCTCAGTTTAGAGTTTAAACCTCAAAGACTTGATTTACCTTTCAATCAAAAACATGACAGGAACAGACAACTGTATTTATTTCTTCTGAGATAGCTGTCCGATATCAATTTGAGTCATATCACCGAGGCTGCGACAAACACTTTGGAGGACAACTTGAGCATTTTCTAACCGTGAACTCACTCCTTCCCGCTTTTTATTTCCACCCTGTTCATATTTGTCTTTTATCAGTGTTTCAATAGATTCCTCAATCGATTTGAGAGAGAACAAAGTGTATTTCTGCAGAGCTTTGGAGGGTTATACGTGCAACAAAGAAAGGTTGCCTCAGATTGTCTGAAAAGGTGAACTAAAGGTAAAAACTTCCTTTCAGAGATTCAGACAGGGTTTGATATGTTATCTTTTGTTTCTGCAAACCAATCAACCTTTGAACACCTGTATCACTGTTTAATCCAGTAAAAGTCACATTTTTGGTTTTGTATTCCGATAGATAAGAGATCCCATTTTAAAGGGGCCCTATTATGCTTTTTGCCCGGAACTGACACAATATTTAAGCACTTCTGGGTTCACCTGTCTTGATTTTAATTTTTTTTTAATACGTTTAGAGGACTGAAATAAGGTGTGTGGTTAACAGAAGCTTACAAGATTGTTACTCTTTGTTCTACAACAGAAAAACGTCCGTAAACACCCCAATGGTGAATGTTTGTAGCTAATGTGTGCCATATAAACAGTGGTTGTTTACAAGTAGCTAAGTGAGACCACTAAACATCATCAAGCCAACCATTAGCCGCCTTCAGCTTAGCGGTTGTGAAATTAAGTCTGCGACTCTTATGTATCTTGTGCCTTACATTAGCTGTTTAATTCTGGTGATTGCATTTAAGCTTAAACTATTGGTGTTAACATGTTGAGGTTAACCTTCTGAACACAATGTGTAAGTATCATCAATGCATTTGCCACAGACCTTTTTGGTCAAAGGACTTCCGTGTCGTCCTAAAAAATCTCTCATCACTCTATACCAAAGACTGTTGTGCTCCCAGTAGATCCATTACTTAACTTCGGTCTTTGTCCCGTTTGATTGATAGGTGTGCTGGTCGTGAATGTGACGTGGAGGAAGAGAACCTACGTGGGAACTCTGTTGGACTGCACCAAACACGACTGGGCTCCTCCAAGGTGATACTACCCTTTATTTTACTGTCTTTTTTCGCCTCTATGTTTCTCTAGGCCCTGTATCCACATGGCGTCTTTTTCTGGCAGAAAAGTGTTGGCATCACGCTGGGCAAAGACTTTTCCCAGCGTTCGATCAAAATAAAATCAATGCTCCTAGGGCTAATTTTTTTGTTTCTATCAGTATTTTATCTAAAACAAAGAAAAAAAATTCAGGTTAGGCAAAGATCATGATTTTGGCAAAAGTATCAATATGGTAATCACTGCTTCCTTGGCAGCCTATTGCACTCATGTTCTAGTTCAAGTTTGTTGAGTTTGTACTCTTAAGAACTAAAAAATAACAGCACAAACAGCACTTTGTTTTTGATTGTGATTGGCTTGTCACATTGTTACAAGGTAACACCAACAACAAAGCTGCATGATGAGGCGACTAGGCACCTGGGACTAAAATGATATCTGTAACCAATTCTGATTCTAATTGTAAACACATTTTAAGGACATGTCTTTTATAATCATTCTGAAATTCACTTGCTTTATGTCCCAGTTTGTCTATTTATCACAGTTGTTCACATTTCATTGTTATTCATATTGCCTTGTTTTTGTTATTGATGCTATTTGATTAACTGAAAAGAGCATTTATTTTGTGTTTTTAAGCATTATTTCTTTAATGCTTTTGAAATGTGTGTTTTGTTCTGTTTAATGATGAGCTATAATATAAATACTCTCCATCACAAACGTTTTACAAATTGAGTTTTTGTTTGTAATTGCTGAGTTGAAAATATGAAAGTCTCACCTCGCATGGCTGAAATCTTTCAAATATTGCTCCTCACTATGTGAAAATTATTGTTGTCATGGCAATTACGGCTTAATCTCAGATACGAGGGAATAAATTGCCTTTTTCATTTGGTCACCGCTGATGTCTATAAGAGGAGACTGAATGCTGTTTTATTACATAATTTAATGGAACAAATTGCTTCCTCTTCGTTGATTCAGCAGTCAATGAATGGAACCAAGCGATCAAATGATGCAAAGCACAAAATATGACTAAATCAGTATAAAAAACGTCTATGTTGAAATAAATTATATATAAATGAGCTCAAAATGTGTAACTTTAGAAGTTGAATTGAAGGTGGTCATCTGGAATAGGTCAAACACATATTAAATAGAGACATAAAAGCAACAAATAACCTTGAAATGCCAAAATAAGCCCATAAAATTTCAGTCGGACACCCTCACAGCTTCAGTGACATTCAGGGACACACTGATGTAAAAAAGCAATTACAAACATCATAAGACATGTGAGATATCATCGCTTTAAAATCACAGAGGGGGGACAAGAGAGGCTAATCTCAACCTACTTTGCAGTCTGTTCCATTAATAACATGATTAACACCCAAAACAGTCTTTCCAAGGTTAGAATATATTCATTGAGTCCTGCAATGTAGTGTCATAATTTATGCACTTAAAGGATAGCACATATGCAAGGTTCAGGGTCTAGCTTGAAAAATAGAGTCTTACTCAGTCAATAAATGTACAGGAATGCCTTTTCCTCATCCCAGCTGACGTTGATGTTGATATACATAACAATGTGTGAAGAAAAATCTTCAGTGTTAAGATGTGAGAGGCTCGAGTAAACAGCATCAAAAGACTTCAAAGTAGAAAGGACGGCATGTGAATACAAAATGTTTCAATATCAAATACTGTGGATTGTACACCGTTTTTTTTATGTTATCAAAACAGAAACAGGCTTTGCACAAAAACTCAAATAGATTTTTATCCTAGACGTCTGTGGTAAAGTGGTCCACATGAGCCCTGAAAGATAATCTGTTATATTCCAAGTTTTTTTTTCAAATCCAATTTCGGTGATAATATGAACAAGTTGTTCCCTTTTTTTTCTGTTTGGTGGTTTGATGTGTTCGTCAGTTTATTTATTATAATTTAAAAGCTTAATGATAACATGATATGCTTGAATGCCATTGATCCATTATTTTTTGTGAAATTGTAGTCATCCGTTAGACTGGATCAGTAGAGCTTGTAAATGGCCAATATGGTGGTGACTGTTTTGATTGGCTTGCAAGACAAAAATGTGGCACACCTTTGTAAAGGTATATCTTAAGCCATTGGAAATACTCAGATGGGGATGGTTTATTGTAAAAAGCCTGCAAGTGTATCCAAATCTGAATGGCTTGTTAAATCCAATGTTTTCTGACCCAGATGGTCCACAAAAAACTGTCTTGGTTGTCTTATTTCACAGTCTGTGCCCCCTCAATTAACTTCCAGCAACTTGTTAATACATATTTTATCAATACTCTGCACAACAGGACACAACCTAATACAATCCACCTCTATTGTTGTGAGGAATTTTCATCCCAATCCCTTGTTTTTCACTTTCTCTGTCCAGGTTTTGCGAGTCTCCATCCAGTGACCCTGAGCTGCCAGGTGGGCGTGGTCGGGGGAAACGGATGCGAATGGCCATGGCCGAGAGGCCCTGCATTGAGCCATCCCCTGCTGCCAAAGTCAGGGGTCTGTCACAGCACAGAAGCCGTGGAGGTGGTGTGTCTGGAACCACTGTACCCATCCACAGCAAAGGACGGAGAGGAAGCCTAAACCTCATCAACAGCAACTGCCGAACGCCTGCTTCTTTCTTCACTGTGGATGAGGTAAAACCCACCAACAGCACCTCCTGTCTCTCCTCCGGGAAGCGCAAGAATAAACCACCGGCTGACCTAGACCTCAGTCTGGTCTCCTCTGACGACATCAAAAATGGGAATGGAAAGAGAATCCGAGCCAAATGCCGCAGCGCCCCCTCCACGCCGCAGGGCAAATCTGACCCCTCTTTCATGGACCCTGGAGGGGGTTGTGCCTCTTCACCACCTCCCCCGCCTATTCTCATTGACTGCCCGCACCCGAACTGCACTAAACGCTACAAGCACATCAACGGCCTTCGCTACCACCAGACACATGCACACCTTGAGGCTGAGGAGCAGAGGAAGCCTCAGCTGGAGCCAATGAAGGATGGAGAGAGTGAGGAACGACTATCAGACTGTGAGGACACAATCAACATGACATATGACCTCTCAGAGACAACCAGCACTAATGCCATCAGCTCCTCTAAGAAACCTGCCCCTCTATATAAAGTGACCACAGTGGGGTCTCCTAAGAACAGAAGACTACTCCTCAGTACTGACCACAGCCCCTCAGCCAACCCCAAGACCAGAAGAACCTCTCTGCTAAAAGATGGTCTGATTGATGACCTTAGCAATCTGCCTATCATCTCCAACATGACCGTGGTTTTGGAGAACTGCATGGTCCCAGACAGGAACTCCATGGTCGAGATGCCCAAGCTGGAAGCTGAAGGCTTGATTGACAAAAAGGGAGGTACATGCGACAAAGGCAAAAAGGCCAACGGCAAGGTAGAGAAACTGTCCAAGTCACGGACCAACCGACCTATCGCACCGGCCCCTGCTCCTCCCAAGCTGGTAGCAATACCCAATACAGCTTATCCGACCAGCACAGCAGATACTGCCAACTCACAGCAGTCCTCACCTATGGCAGCCATAGGCCTCACCAGTAAAAACCTTCCCCTGAAACCCATCAAACCAAAGCTGAGCATTGTTGTGGAACCGAGCCTTGTCAAAGCAACTCTGGTTACCTGCAGCAAAGAGACCAGGAAGAAAGAGAAACGGAGACTGAAGGACAAACATAACAAAGATGCGCACACCAGGACACCTAATGCTGACAGCAGTGCAATCAAAATAGAAGATGGTGTTACTGGAGGTTCCAAAATGGGTGTCAAGGAAATTTCTGGAAGCCTTCTAAAGGAGCACCTCAGTAAGCAGGATGTAATCAACGGGCTCACAGAGAGCCAGGAGAGCAGGATGGCCAGTATCCGAGCTGAGGCTGACAAGGTATACACCTTCACTGACAACGCCCCCAGTCCGTCCATTGGTGGTTCATCACGGATTGACTCCAGTGGTGTTTGCCTTGCAACAGACAGCAAGAACAACAGCCCAGCCTACTCTGACATCTCAGATGCCGGGGATGATGGAGGATCTTCCGAATGTCGTTCGGATGGAATGCGGTCCAAGTCTGCCTCCTCGGCCTCTTCAGAGGTGAGCTCTAACAGTAGCCATGGCAACTCTGGTAAAACCCCACCCACAGCATCTGCCCCACCATCAAAAGACCCCCAATCCCCGTACTACCACAGCTACGACCCATACTATCTACAGGGGTACATGCAGTCTGACAGGCAAAATAGCAGCACCGTTCCTTTCCACAAAAGCGCTGGACTTGACGGCAAAGGCAAAGACAGAAAGGAAGAGGTGAAAGATGACGACAAATGCCTCTCCCACGAGTTCTCAGACTCAAAAAAAGGTGACGGGCCACCTCAGTCTCAGCTCCAGCTGGCTATGAGTCAGACACAAACTGCATTGGCCCAGTCGTTATACTATGGCCAGTATTCCAGAGGACTGTACATGGACCAGAAAATGTTGCTGGCATCAAAGTGCTGTGACCAGACGCACAGTGCCAAGCAGAGGGGCGAGAGAGGGCAGGGGTTGAGAGACAGTGAGGATGAAAAATATTTGGTTGGGGGTTTAGCTGGTGGACCCATGGTAAGCAAAGGTCCAGATGGCCTTAAAGGTTGCTGTCCCAAACCTGTCCTGTCCTACGTGGAGATGAGTGAGAGGGGAGAAAGGGGACAGAGTCACGGCGTGAAGGTAGTGCACGGTGGCATGGTGGACCAGCACCAGGTCTTGATGAAAGACTGTGATGACATCAAGTCACATTCCTCTTCCTCTTCTTCATCAGTCCACAACCCAAACAGTCAGACAGATCTGGACTCAAATGTTTCCTATTCCAGTGTAAGTTTCTCCCTCTGTCTATAACCTGCCGCCGCCGCTGATGGTGTTGTTGGTGTGCTTTAATGACTGTTGTTGCGTGTCACAAAGAGATTAACCACACATTGTGTACAGCTAAACCAATAGGTGCTAATAACAAAGACCATTTGGCTTCTGTGGTGCTGTAGCTGTCCATTGACATACTTCCGTAGTCATTTTGGTTGAAATCAAAATGATGTGGTTTGATGGATGCAAATGTTTTAAATGTGTAGCACTAATGAGGGGAATGTGTAATCCAACTTTAGCTGTACATAAAACATAAACACTTAAAAGAACAAAATCATTTTAATACATAAGTGTTGGTTTTTGGTATGAGCTGCTTTTATAGAATGCTTGTACAGATTTTTGACCATGTCATCTCACAATGCATTTAACCACTAACTCTAGTACTGCTGGGTATGTAAAAAGGTTGTATGAATCGAATGAAAGCTGTGTCTGGGAGGTTGTTTTTTCCTTCAGCTTGGCCTAGCAGTTGATCATGTGTGAGAAGTGTCTTGATTCTTGTCATTGAGAGGGACGCCACACTCCTCACATTCCACCTGTGAATGGCCGCCTGCTGTTGAAACGTCGTCATCCTTCATCAACATCACACCCAGAGCCAGTGATAGATGGTCTGTCTATGGTTCTGTTCACTCAAATACACAGTGTTTCCTCTATAGTCATTCAGCAGCGGTGGGCCACCGCAGCAAGAATTTCTCCAAACCCTGTTAAAAAAGAAATGCACAAATGAAAGTCATAAATTAGCCTCCAAAAAAGTCAAAAGGTAATGTTAAGACTTGTGAAATATGCCTCAGATTGAGCTCTGAAACTAGTCATCTTAGCAAAAACTGGGACAGAGACGTGGACAGAAGTTGAAGTGAACCAAAAATGACTCCCACCCACCACTGTTGGCTAAAAATTATAGGGGAAACACTGCAACTACCACCAATACTTGTCCCCATCGATTTAGCCCTCAGACAGCCAGGCCTGGGCTCATTGCCTTGCTCATAGCAAATACTCAGAGCTACAACATGCGGAGGAGGCCGAGGAAGGTGAAGCAGACAGGGCAAAAGAGTGGGGCTCTTCTGTGGAGCCTGCTGGTGCCAAGATGACCTCAGGAGAAAGAGGTGTTGGCGTAGATGCTAAGAAAGCCAGGGTCCATGATCTCCCGCCCGCCATCGACGTGGAGGATTCAGACAGGCTGGATGGGCTAGATGATCAAGGCCAGGAACCAATAGGAGGGCTGGCAGAGGAGTCCCCGAGTGTTCGATTGGCGGTGTCCCCTCCCATGGCCCCCCAGCAGCCCTACATCCAGTACCAACACTCCTCCTACCCGCCCTACCTGGCAATGTGTGAGAGCGCAGGGGGCTCCTACAGAGGGGTTTCCCCAACACTGGTCCACAATTACCCAGGTAGGAGTCTGAGTAATGGTTTAGGTTTAATTTAAAGGAACATGTCGTGAAATATGTACTTACTGTATTTACTTCTTGAACTGGGCACAAAGACAGGAAGGTGCTGTTAATCATTCTCGAGTTTTGTTGGAAAAACGGAGCTTTAACGTTTGAATTAGGGAGCTTCAGACCTTCATGATGGTGATATTCAGCCCCCGCAACCGTAGCTGGGCAGACAGAAAACCGGTTCCAAAGAAGAATTCTGCTTCAGGTCTTCCGTTCAAAGCTCAGAGAGCACTGTAAAACTGAACACACAAATGTTCATTAATTTAGTACATAGAAATCATTCAACATATCATACACTTCCCACGTATGCTCACAACCACAACATTAACGATGGTTTAGCTTCATGCTATCACACATGGGAACTTAAATTGATGCACTAGCATTCATCGATTTCCATTATTCATCAATGTAGTCCTCACACATACTCTTTATAACAATACTGAAACAACAGAGCATGGACATTCTAACAGGCATATGTGTTCTTAGACAACAATGAGAAGTGGAAACGTGCGTCTGAATACATGTAAGACTTTCGCATAATAGTACGGCAACACTGAATGTACAATACAGAACTCAAAGCATTGCAATTGGCACTTTTACCCACAAGGTTTCCTTTTTGAACTACATAAACAATTTGGCAACACAGGTGGGCTCCTATTTATTGAAGTTGCTCAGTGGCACATGAAGCCAACATTTTTTTTCATTTAATCGTTTATTTGAACCGGGACAGTGCACATTAATGAACATTTTAAACAAAATAATGCTTTCAAATGTAAATGAGCCGGATTTTAGCTTTGAGCTCATTTCCATCCGTAGTCCCGTCACATACAACATTTATGAACATAACATTTATATACATGGCAAACAGAAATGACTGGAATGCTGAGTGATAAAATGACCCTGATCCACAGGTAATGTTACATATCTATGGCCTCATAGAGCATGCACACAAGCTTTCCCTTAAACCCCCCACCAGTCACTCTGTCCCCTATTTTCTTCAAAAGGCTACAGTTCAAAACATAAATGTACATATTTTATACTCTATAATGGACTATAACTTCGCTAGCATCGAGAGAGAGAAAGGTTTTAATATTTCAAAAATTTGCCAATTTGTATTTTATGGTTTCAACCTTTTCTTTGACATGTATATATATATATATATATATATATATATATATCGGGGCAGAGTGTGATCCATTATAACACAATTGTTAGTGACCAGCACCTTTCGTATTTACAAAATGGCATAATTATCTTGTAAAAACAGGTTATAAATTACATGAGGTAAACTATATATATTCATATTCGGACCTGCATTTTTTGGGGACTTAAAGAGTTGAAGCGACAGTTGAAGTTGAAGCACTGACATGCTTTGAAATGTGAGATGAAGAGTTATTTTTGAAATAATTTGAAGTTGCAGGTGCATGCCCTGTATTGTTCAATTGTCAGATCGTTTGTAAGCACTGAAAGTATTTAAACTCTCACATGAGGAGTTGAAAGCAGGGAAACTGTCAGCAAAACATTGAGAGTTTAAAGCATTTGAGCCTGTTATTGTTTGAGCCATAAATCTAAGATGAAAGCAAATTAAGTAGAACTCTTTAGCTGATCCCCTGTTCTCATCAAACAAGTTCTCAAAAAAAAAAGGCAAATGTACAGAGTTTGTGCACGTACAGTTTTCTGGGGAACGGCCTGTATTAAGATTGATATTTGAGGTTATTGTAATGTATGAGTTGCAAAATGGCAGCAAAGCCATCAGTAAATTATTTTAAGGGTTAATTGTGGAATAACAGTAGGTGTTTTAAACCCTTTAAACCCCCTAATTCATCCCCAAATCCTCTTTAATGCTTCTTAATATTTTCTTTCATGAATATATATATGTTCACTGTAAATGTGGGATGAACCCCATCAAGCTTATTAAGGTTGTAAGCTGCTGCTGAATTTGAACCTTAAATAGAAGATCATTTTTTCCGTTGAAATAATTTAAATTTCTGTATGGGCTCATGTCCCCTCTTTTTTTTTTAAAGGGATTGTAATACAAAAGTGTTTGATAGTGAAAGCACATGGTAATTTGCATAAATCAGGCACCCAATAACAAATAGTACATGTAGCAACTATGGTATCTGAATTTTTTGTTGTCACTTCATTTATCAATAAAGTACATTTCATAAAAATTCAAGTTTACCAAATTGTCAAATCATACGCAAACATATTAAAGGCAACCTACTTTATATTGCGAATAGTTCTACCGCAAAGTTATTCTCCGTGGGGACTTCCGGCAACAATCTTGATTCTGATCAAAGGCCAGAAGACTCGGAAAAACATTAGCAAAGATGTTTTATTGAGAAGATGATCACTACGTGACAAAAGTTTTCAAAACCGTTCATGGTCTCCGGTACTTCCAGTCCAACACCTACTGCATGCAAAGCGTTAGAAAATTGGGCCTTCAAAATAAAAGTTTGACTTTCCCCCCCCCACAAAAATTAAAAAAAGGAAGAAAAAAAAATTCTAATTTTTTTTTCTTCACTCACACATCTGCGACCCACTCGAAACGGGTCCGCGACCCACTTTT